TGGGACTCCATGGTGGTACTTACAAAACATAATTGTTTATAAGGTCATAATCAAATATTCTTTAAAATATAAACAGACATATCTATGGGTTTCATTTTAAACAAATAGAGTTCAGAAGATAAACCATGTAACTGAAAACTTTATAAAACATAACTTTTATTAAAAATATAATTTGTATAAAATAAATTTTAATAAGTCAAAACATACGTAAAATACATTTTGACGACTCAAGATATAATATAACTCACCTTAACTTTAATACCTCACTCTTTCTTTCCACTATCAAAGACTCTTCCACCTTCCATTATTTTTCCCTTCTCTTCCTTTCTTTTCTTTCTTCTTTCTTTTTCTTTCTTCTATCCTTTCTTTTCTTTCTTCTATCCTCTTCTTTCCAGCCGAATCACCTCCCTATTTATAGGGAGGTGAACCCAGCCTCTACTCAACACGCGTCCCTCCCCAATTCAATCAGCAGATTCGACTATAATTATATAAATTCGTTTCTAGCCTTAATAGTTTTTTAAGATAATTACTTTTTGACCTAATTTTTTAATATAATTATATAAATTAATTAATTTTTAATTAAATTATACATTATCACATACTAACAGAAAATTAATTATTTATTTTATTATTATGTCTATTATTATTATTATTTATATTTTGATTCTTAAATTTTAATAATTATATTATTTTACAAAATTACACATAATAATATATAATAAATTATATATTTTTCAAACTGAGATTAAATAATATTAGTATAAATTCTATAGAATAATTAAAAATCTGAGTTGTTACAATGGTGGTTATGGTAGTGAGTTTATAATAGTGTATATTGATACTTATATCTAATATTTATAAATTCAATCAAAATTAAGTAAATTTCATATGACTTAATTTTTTTAAAAGTTTTAACTTACATTTTAATAGGTATTTAAATTTTTAAGTGATATCAGTTGTGATTATTAAATGGATTTAATTGATTATCACTTAATATATTTAGTTTTGGATTATGTTAGAGATCCCAAATAATTTATTAAATTTTTTACCAAACTTCTCATATGGATGTGACAACGCACACATTTGGATTTGTATAAATCTCACACCCATGTAAAAAGTTTGATAAAAAATTTAGTAAATTATTTTGGGTGTATAGCATTTTCCTTTGGTTTTAAGTGCCGAATCACCTAAATTAATGATAAAATAATCGCAAAAAATTACAATGTGCACTCTTTTAAATGGTAAACATTGTAAAGAAGTTATGATTTTTTTATGATAAATGTTATAATTGTTTGTAAGGTGTGTTATGATATTTTGTAATAGAGTTATAAATAACAAATTTATGATGTGCATCTTATAGTTAAGAATGATAATGTTATGATATTTTATGATTTTTGTTATGATACTTTGAGATTTTATTATGACATTTTTTAATAAAAAAAAATTATGACTTTTATAATGAAAAAATTATGACATTTTAAATTTAGCCTGCGTTTGGCAAGTTGGGTTTAGGCTAAATTAGCCACTAAATGACAAAAGTGGCTAGTTTAGCCACATCCGGACAAAAGCATGACAGGAGCATGGCTGCAACAATTTTACTGGTAAATTTACCATATTACCCCCACGTGAAAGAGGGGCGACGTCAGCCCACACAAAGTAAAAAAAAAAAAAAAAAAATCAAATTAGGCTTTTTACCAGGAAAAATAAAGAAAGTTGAAAAAAAAATTAAAAACATTTTTTTTTGTTTTTTGTTAAAATATTTTATGAAAATAAATTTAAACTACATTTTATAAAAAAATATTTTAAATTTTTTTTTTGTTATGTATTTGGTTATGATTTAAGTGTAGAGTTGTGAAAGTAGTATGAAATTTCGAGTTATATGTTTGGTTATGAGTTAACTCAATAATTTATTAATTGAGTTTTATTTTATGTGTTTGGTTACGACTTGAATGTAGAGTTGTTTTTAAATGTAAAATATTAACATTTTAAATTATTTAAAATTTTTGAATATTTAAATTATTTAAATTTTGTTGTTAAAATAATTTTTTGAATATTTAAATTGATTAAATTTTTACAATTGAAATATTTTTTGAATATTTAATTTAATTTTTTTAGATTATTTACATTATTTACAAAAAAATAAAACAAATGAAAATCCATTTTTGAAATATAAAAATAAATTAATATGGGTTAATAAAAAAATGCCAAAATCGTAAATTAAAAAAAATAACGACAAAAATATGCTTCATTGAATTTTTTTTAAAAAACAAAACATGAAAACATAAATTACCATTCGCCACGTAATTAAATAAGGCAATAAAAATAAAAATAAATAAGGCAGAAAATAAATAATTAATGTATAAAACAATAAATAAAAATAAATATGGCAAAAAAATAAATAATTAATGTATAAAACAATATATAAAAAATAAATATGGCAAAAATATAAATAAATAATTAATGTATAAAACAATAAATAAAAATAAATATGGCAAAAATATAAACCAACAATTTCAGACCTTTTTGGAAGCTGACGTGGACTTTGCAAAATTACAGATATATGTGGCTCAAGGGCAATCAAGGGCACTTTGGTAAATTAATAGGAAGACACCTCATCAAAAAGTTAAAAAAGTCAAAAAGTCTTTTTTAAATTAGACTTTTTAGTCCCAGACTAAAATAGCCGAAAAATCAAAAAATCAACCAACTTCCTAAACAGAGACTTAATTTATGAAATTTTATGAAAAATTATAAAAGACATACTCTGTGTACATTTCTAAGGGTACACATTGTTACATCTTCCAAAATAATCATCTATATAATAAGTCACAAAGGTTTTTGAAAAATGTATCAAAATGTATATGAGATACATTTTGATCCAATGGCTGAGATTAATCCCAAGTATATATGAATAGTTTAGATCAATGGTTTATATCAAAATGTATCAAAGGTTTCCCGCCCATACCCTCTGTCTTCCCCATACCCTTTGTCTCCCCCATACCCTCTGTCTTCTTCCCATACTGCTGCAGAGTTGAGAAGCAGATAGTGAGGTGTGTATTGAGAGAAGCAGATACGAAATTGATTTGAGAAGGTTGGAGACAAGCACTGTTATGATTTGAGAAGCATACTGCACTCTTAGCTCACAGTTATTGAATTCAAATTCAAAAGTTATTGAATTCATATATGCTGGGTTCTTAACTGCTGGGTCCAATTCTGAATGAGTATGAACATATTACTGGGATGATAACTTTGGTCTACATGAATGCTGCAACAATGGACAGCATTGAGAGCTTGTGAAAGTCTGGAATTTGAGACAGAAAAATCTCAACAATTCCCAACCCAATCATGTATGGGTTATTGGAAAAACTGCATTGAGCTTCACGACTTCTATTGTGATAGCAATTTGACTTTTTTATGGCCCTGAAAAACCATCACATTTCATAGTTATATATTATGTGAACATTTCATTTCTTTTTTTTTTTATATAGATAAATTACACTGTTGGCCTAAACTATGCTTAATTGGAGCATTCATGGTAATTTTGCTCCCTCTCTGTTGTATTTCACATTCGGAGGAAATCGTGATTTCCCTTCAAATCTCAGGTTCTAATTCTCCCCCCCCTCTCTCTCTCTCTCTCTCTCTCTCTCTCTCTCTTTATGATTACAGAGTCCCTTTGTATACAATATTACACATGGATTCTTCTAAGCTTTTTCATGATTTACACCTATACATTTTTCCTTTTTATTTTTTATTTCTTTATTCTCGGAACATTGCATTGTTTCCTGGATTTTCTCTCTTCTGCGAGGTGTTCATTGGTTAATTCCTCGCCGTCTTCTTGGTAATGGATCTTTGGTTGTTTTGATGGATCTTGGAGTATCTGTGTGAATTTTCCATCGAGATCTGTAATGTGTGTGAATATGCTATGAAAACATGTGTTTTTGATTTGAATGTATCTGCTGGTGGTAGTCAGTGTTAATCGAAAGTTATAGTTTAATTGTTGTCCTCTTGATGTGATCAACAGTTGGATTTGATGTGTCATACATAGAGTTTTTATAAGTAATTTTATTATCTGATTGCTTTGCAATAGTTAGATTGGTGATTGCTCTATTATATTGGATGAGATTCATTCGAGAAAGCTCATCAGTTTGATTGTCAAAGAAGTTCAACTTTCTTTTATCAGTAATAATGCAACTGGGTATTAATCATTTTGTATTGGGGTTGGGCTGGTGTCAATTTATCACAGAAGCACAAAAAACAAAAATTATATTTATTCTCACATTATTAACCTTTTTTCTAGTATTTTCAGGTGGTTATGTTGGAGTTTGAGAAGGTTGCATGCATATGGGGTTTAAGAAGAGTTTAAGAAGGTTGTTGGGAGTATATAATTTAGGACTGATTTGCTTATCTGCTTAATCATTATTATGTGGATGTGGGCTTTTTCAATTTTATTTTGTTCTTCTTTTTATTTTTATCCTCCTTTAGGTAGACAATGAATTTCATTAAAATGAAACTAATGGCCTTTTGTTTTCTGTAACCAAGTGCTTATGCCTCCTTAAGTTTGCTTTAATTTATTGTCATAGGGAGTGGATATATTTATTTTGTTAGAGAATAATTTAAAGTATAGTTAAGGGTGCAAAAGCACCAAAAACAAAAATTAAATTCATCTAAAATAATAAATTACTCACTTTGTATAAAATCTATTGTTATTTTATTTGAGTTTTGTAGAGCGCGTAATACAAGCAAAATTGTTATAAATTTTTTAAGAAGAAATATATTTCAATATATGTTTTTAGTATCTTTATTAAAAAAATAACACAAACTTTATAAATTTTAACATAATACTTATAGATTATAACTGCATTTTAATATTAAAAATATTTACACCGGGCCTAAAGACACGAACATACGCTAGTCAATTAATAAGGTGAGTCAATCATACCATCGTCGCCACATGTGTAGTACGCGTGTGAGTGTATTAGACTCAAGGTTTTCCTAAAAGATAATGATATCAGTCAGGGTCGTTGGAGTTGCCTGAAACAACAAACGAAGGGGGGAGCTGAAGCCGTCTATGATCCAGTAGCCTCTCTCTCTCTCTCTCTACTCAATGACTACCGTCACAGACTTTCGTTATTTAAATGCATACAATAGTCACAGTCAATTTCCAGCTACAAATCGCCATACAAAACCCTTGTCGCCCTCTTCTCGCATCCACCTTTCAAGCCTCTCTATCTATGGTTCGTCTCCGTTTACACGCAACAACCGAAACAGAGACAATTGTAGGTGGGGAAGATTCCGATGCTCGATCGCCGAGGAGTCCACAATTGCTCCGTCCAAGGTCGGTTTCCAAGACACCGGCGGCAGTGGTGGTGAATCCGTGTTGGATTGCGTCATTGTCGGCGCCGGTATCAGTGGCCTCAGCATTGCCCAGGCTCTGGCGACCAAGCACTCCGATGTAGCCCCAAATGTCATCGTGACGGAGGCTAGAGATCGAGTTGGCGGCAACATCACCACTGTCGAGAGGGACGGTTTTCTCTGGGAAGAAGGTCCCAACAGCTTTCAGCCTTCCGATTCCATGCTCACCATGGTGGTAAGTACGTTTCTGCTCACCTATACCCCTAGCCTAGGGTTTCCTCAACCCCTAAGATCCTGTTTAATTAATAGGATTTATGGGATTAGTTATCTAACTAGATTAGTGGGATAAATTATTATTATCTCTTGTCCAGGATGATTTTGCGTTAATAGTTATAAGATTAAACAATCCGTCAATTTTAATTGGTACAATGTCCATTGAAATCTAATTCGGAAAACTAAACGCTGGAATCGAGTCCTAGGATCCTATGGCATAATCCACCCAATCAAACATGTCGTAAAATTGTTGCTTATCTGTCATTGTTTTTAAAATTTTATTTTATAAAAGGAACTTTGTCACTCAGAAAATGTTATCCATTACAAATAGATTTAATTGTTGTTCGCACATTATTTTGTAAGCCTTTATTTATTTAGTTTTTAACCCAATTCACTGTAAGGACCCCCGCAGTACCAGCATTTCAAGTGTTTGTGATCAACTACTTGCTCATGCTGTAAAAGCATTGCACGATGACTACTGTCTTTTGTGAACTCTTCATCTTGATTTTGCATTTATTTTGCTCTATCTTTGAAATTTATGCATGATCTTCTCAAGTGTTATTTGCTTAATATTATTTTGTTGGGTTGTCTAATCTACTTGTATATCTAAATTCTCTCTCGCCCGATCAAATCCTTGCCAGGTGGACAGTGGTTTGAAGGATGATTTAGTGTTGGGCGACCCTAATGCACCTCGATTTGTATTGTGGGATGGTAAATTAAGACCAGTACCCTCCAAGCCAACCGATCTCCCCGTCTTTGACTTGATGAGCTTTGGTGGGAAACTCAGGGCAGGCTTTGGTGCTCTTGGCCTTCGGCCTTCTCCGCCAGTTTGTCCTCTTCTTGACCTTGTTTTTTTCTACACTTGAGGATAGCAAGTGTATTGCTTTGGGGTTGTTTGTGACTCGAGCACAATCAAACTCAACATTTATGTGATGTTGACTGTAATTTTCTCATTGGTTAATGTTTTGACGAAGGTGACAGGGTCATGAGGAATCCGTGGAAGAGTTTGTGCGTCGTAATCTTGGTGATGAGGTTTTTGAACGTTTGATAGAGCCTTTCTGTTCAGGTAATTGGGTCATCCTTGTTGTGGACCAATTTACAATTTCACTGGATAAGGTGAAATTACTTAAAATAAACTGCGGACCAATAAACTGCTGCTCTTGTTATCCGTAATGCATCCACATCTTGGAAATATGATTAAAAACACCTATACTCGCCATTACTTAAATCTTGAGAAACCAGGCTTGCTTTTATGATGCAGGATAATAAGTATGGCGTTATTCGAATGATATTGTTCTTGGCCTCCGCCTGACCATTTAACTTTGGTTGTCAATTATTGTATAAAATATGTTGGATGTTTCTTACTGTTAAGTTTTTTTAAAAACAATTTGCAAATTTCTTAATTGATGGGCTGTCACCAGGTACTTTGCATTCACTGAAAATGTCTCATGAAGTTTAAGTTTTAGTTTTCATTCCACCGATGTTTTCTGTCTATATTATCTACACACCGTCAAGACTGTTAGCCGATTCACATTTTTGGATGACATTACTTGCCTTGCTAGTCCTTTATCGTTACAAGTTGTGGTTCAACCTGAGCGCAGTTGGAAATGCTGTATGCAGGTGTTTATGCAGGTGACCCATCAAAGCTGAGCATGAAAGCAGCATTTGGAAAAGTTTGGAACCTAGAGCAAAATGGTGGTAGTATCATTGGTGGTGCCTTCAAAGCAATCCAGAAGAGAGCTAGTAGTCCAAAGCCGCCTCGAGACATGTAATAATTAAATAACATATCTATATCAGGGTTGTCTCATGCTTTTTCTTTTTAATTATTTCATGGAGATATGATGTTTTACTGAATTTAGTCATTTTGCAGGCGCCTACCAAAACCAAAGGGCCAAACAGTTGGATCATTCAGGAAGGGACTGGTAATGTTGCCTGAAGCAATTTCTGCAAGGTACACTTTTGCGGTTTGTTTGGTAACATTCCGTTTTCAGTTTATATTTATAAAAATTTTAAAAACTGTCATAAAAACTTATATGATAATTTTTTTGGTTTATAAATAGTTGTCTGAGGCCTCGTTTGGCAAGAGGCTATTTTAGCCAATTAGCCAAAAAGTTACTAAATTAGCCAAAAAGCCAACAACTCATACCAAAAAGTCAAAGATTCTCTTTTCTCTCTACTTTTTGCACATCTTTTCGTAATTAGCCAAAAAGTCATCCCAAACATACAAGTTTTTTTTCCCTACCTTTTTAGCCAAATAGCCAAAAAGTTACTAAATTAGCCTGTTCCCAAACGAGGCCTCAGAGGAAAAAACGTAAACTCAAAAAATGAGTTTACGTTTTTAGTTTTCAATTTTTTTTTTCAATTAATTTTTTTTTCCCAACTAATTTTTTTTTCAATTATTTTTTTAATTAATTTGTTTCATTTTTTTTCAATTAATTTTTTTTCAAATTAATTTTTTTTTCAATTATAATATGTGTGATCCCATTGTCATAAATAATAAAAATAAATATAAATATTTTAGGCCTAAACAAATATATTTTTTAGTTTATGTTTTAAAATTTTTTTAAACATTTTGTTCAAACCAAATGCGTTTGTAATTTATGTTTTTCTAAAAATAAACAAAAATCAGTTTATAAAATTTTTGTAAACATAAACAAAAAACGTAAACGTTACCAAACGCTACCCTATTATTCCGTGTTGGATAATAAATTTCAAGTTCGGTGCACAGTGATTCTCTACCTACTCGTGCTTTAACATCGTAAACAAGGCGGGGGCGACCACATTTGTGCTTAGTAATATTTATTTATATAGTTCTATAACTATATCTAAGAGAAACTGTCCGTTCATATAAAATTTAATTACAAAAGGCAATATTTATTAATCAATCAATTTAATTAGGCCAACCGCACAATATCACAATAATAAAATAAAAACTGAACACAAGCAATGCATGCTCTGTTTTGGATTTTTTAAAAAAAATGTAGGCTCCGTTTGTTTTGATGTAAAATGCTTTACACAAAATATTTTTCATGTAAAGCTTTCTACTTGTAAAATAATTTCGTTGATCTTATTTTCTGATGTTTGGCAACGATCCTTATAAAAAATTCAAGCCATGTTGGAAAAAAAAGAACCATTGCAAGACCCACTGTCCTGATAAATTGGTCCTTCATTTCCCAACAACTTTGGCTGAACCTTATAGAAGTTTTCCTGGCTTAGGCTACACATAGGGTGTTCTAGCATTTCCTTCTAGGTGGTGAGAGCATAGTTCGCAAGTATCATAACTTTACTTATGGAAATCAAATCCATGTAAGTCATTTTCCTTAAAATTGTTGAAAAATATTTACCCCAATTTTGGGCAACCAAACACCAATAATTAATAAAATATTTTTTGCAAAAAATTTTACACTCAAAAATCCCTATGGCAAAAACCATGGGTGCCCCTATCGGAATAAACAATCCACTGGATCAAGAATTTTAATACAAAGATTTAAGTGAAATGACTTACAAACCCAAGCCAGATGTGTTTAGCTTTGACTTCTTTACCTTCAAGCTTGCAAGCTCGAACTCCATTCGCAAATGGCTATGACACCCTTGTTTTCATTCTCTTGTTTTAATCTCTGCTCTTTGCAGCTCCAATCGCAGCCAGCCATTTGGTAGGAATATTTAATGCACTAAAAATGATCTAAGTGCTAATAATAGTGTATGTCGATAAAATTTTCTCAATTCAGTTCTTATGAACAAGATAAAATATGTCTACTTTTCTTAATATATATAGACTAGGTTTCCTAAATTTTCAAGGGCTCCGGCAACACTAGGGTTGTTACATAAATATTTTTTGTGCATTAATTTGAAAAACACTAGCCCTATTTATAATGTTTTCAAAATCAAGTCATGCACAAATTTCAAAGTTCATCGTGCTGCTCAAGCAGTCTTCAAGTAGGCCACTCTAGAATTTAATTTTGCAGAGTGCCCTTCAAGCAGCTTGAAGTCCGCTCAAGCACTCTTCAAGCGTCCTTTAAGTGGGGCTCTCAAATTAATTGTTTCAATCTTGTTTTTCAAGCTGTTACGTACCAACACGGGACTGGAAGATGGAAAATCCAAGTTTTAATAATGAAAAATGTATCGTAAACTAATGCAACATGCTTGATACGTAAATTATACCTTTGAATGCATCGAAGTGAATTAGTTTAGTCTCTGACGATCTTCAACAAACTACTCTTGGCACACAGACCAAACCCTTTACTAGATGCTTCCTGCAATTTTGTCTTCGGAATTTGTCAACACTATATCATGTTTACACAGCCTTTGAGGTTTGATTCTGTAATGATAATAACCAGTCTGTATCTTGTCAGGTTGGGAAGCAAAGTTAAATTGTCTTGGAAACTCACAAGTATTGTACAGTTGGAAAATGGAAGGTATAATTTGACATATGAAACACCCGAAGGATTGGTTTCTCTGCAGAGCCAAAGTGTCGTCATGACTGTTCCATCACACGTGGCAAGCAATTTGTTGCGTCCCCTTTCAGTATGTTTCATTTTTGAACATTTTTTTAGATTTCTTTTTCGTTTGTCATAAAAAGCAGAAAGCTCCTAAGTGGATTGTGTTCAAATTTTATTCCTTCATTTAACCTTGATTATTGCCTTTGCTTCGCATTGTTTCTGATGTGTTTTTCTCTTGATTTTATTTTTAAATGGGACTTCTTTTTTGTGTAGGTAGGTCATAAGTTTGATACCAATAAATAAAAAATATACAATGGGGCTCAATACACTCCCAAAGGGAACAAGAAAGATGGCTGAGCAAGCCATCAAAGAAAAGCAATCAAATTAAAGCGTAGCACTAAACAAAAACACTCACGGCTCGAGAGCTTATGTTAGTTCATTTTCACTATTTAGTAGCTAACTCTACTTCCTAATGATCTTCTGTCTTATCATGTTAAATCATTGAAACATTCTCCTTTCTTTATAGGTTTTATCAGCCTAACAAGTTAATCACACTTGTGTTGAACATTTTACATATTGTTCAGAAATTCAGTTAATTGACAATTTTCAGGAATCAGGTTAGGTTCCAACTAAGTGTAGAAATATAGTATTGAAGAAGAGGCACATCTAATTCAAAAGACACTAAATGTCAAGAAGAGTACGCACAATATTAGATTAATGTCATTAGTCACTTTCTTTTTTTATTTTCCCTTCTGCTTTGGAAGGTATATGGGTAAAGCTTAGTTTTTTCAGAACGTATCTCTTAACATCCCCAACAAGTCATTCAAGAGGAATAAGTATTAACTGCAGATCAAACAAGCTGCACATTTTGGTGCCACCTTCAATATTTTATTTTTTAAAATTGTAGTTTTTGGTTGTAGTTGTAGCAAGTAAAGCTGGCTTTTCCTCTACTTCTATAGTATAGCTTTAGGAAGAATAAGAGATTAATCCATCTCTACGAATGCAAGCAGCACATGATTGATCACCTCTAATTCCATCATCCACATTAGCTTTAATCTAACCGAAGGGCTGGAGATTCTACCTACCAGAAGGTGCATCCGGCATTTTGCCAGATTTAGTTCGTAAGATCCTCCTCTTTTGACCAAGCAGGTACTTTGATATGCATATGATTGATGATAAACAATTCATATATATGAAAGAAAATAAATAATTGTTATTTTTTTATTTTTTATGGAATTAGGGTTTGATTTGATTGGCTTCAGCATTCTCTAATACAATTTTTTTCATTGCTGATAAAAAAAATAAAGAAAGAAAGATTGAGGTGCCACTCAGCGAGGGCCATCTAGATGATCCAGGCAACCGAGTGGGTACCATGGAGGAAGGGTGCCGTTGGCCTGGGAATGGGCGCACTTGGGTCTTCATGGAACAATTAGAGGGGACACTCGGTTGGAGAACTACTTGGCCTAGCTGAGAATATACTGGACATGTCAGCCCGGGTGCTGCAATTGGCCTGGAGGATGACTCGTCCCCATAGGCTCAAAGCTAGGGTGTTGTGTGCGCTAGCCTCGGCTGGCGTAGCTCGATTGGTCTTTATTGATCCACATGTCATCTCATGTGACCATATTCATAGGAGATGCCCTCATGGAATATCGTGGTAATGCCACGTAATGGAGCTGGATACTTGTACCTACATCGAGTATTTCAGTCTATTATACAACATTATTGAAGATTCACCATAAACTCCTGTATCCACGTGTTTGTAGGCTGCTGCAGCAGATGCGCTATCAAAATTTGATTATCCACCAGTTGCAGCGGTATCCATTTCATATCCAAAAGAAGCCATTCGTGCTGAATGCTTAATAGATGGTGAACTGAAGGGATTTGGTCAGTTGCATCCGCGCAGCCAAGGGGTTGAAACTTTAGGTAAATCTGCTTTTTATTGGCAACAACATTAATCATGGCTGTTAACTAGTTGGAACAGTTACCTTTTTTTATTTATTATTATTATAAATCTGCCATCCCAGTTGATGTTTGCACACAATAATAAATTATTTTGCTAGAGATGTTCTGGAGTTTAATCCAAATTAGCTTTTCTACAGGAACTATATACAGCTCGTCACTTTTTCCTAACCGAGCGCCACCTGGAAGAATTCTGCTCCTGAACTACATTGGAGGGGCGACCAATCCTGGAATTTTGTCAAAGGTGAGAACTTTTCATTAAGACTGGAACTTACCTCTGGGGATAAGTAAGGAACAATTTAGTGTCAGAAGGCGTTTTGTTGCTTTCATTTGTGTAGCATTCTGGAGGTTTCATTCTGAATCTCATGCTAACAGTTCAGCTGGTTGACTGATTGTAATTATTAGTTTTCCCTTCATCTCCCCTCCTGCAGGTTCCCTTTTTCTTTTCTTTTCTTTTCTTCTTCTATATATATATATATATTCTTTTGCTAGATAATTTTTTAATTGCCTTTTGAGTGGAACATTGTTAATGAATTACATTTTAAGTATCTTAAGCTTTGGCAATATTATATCTTGTGGTGTTGTGTAATTGCTGCTCTTGGTTATGATGAAAATGTTTTTCCATTTTTGTTGTTACAAGTTTATCTATTAATTCGCCCGCCCCCAAAAGCCTTATTATCTTCATTGTTATTCCTCCTAATGAAACATTGTTTGTCAGACGGAGAGCCAACTTGTGGAAGCAGTTGACCGTGACCTGAGAAAGATACTTATAAACGGTAGTGCAAAGGATCCACTTACTTTGGGGGTGAGAGTGTGGCCACAAGCCATTCCACAGTTCCTGATTGGTCATTTTGACATCCTAGATGCTGCAAAATCTGCTCTCAGCAATGGTGGGTTCAGAGGGCTTTTCCTCGGGGGCAATTATGTAACTGGTGTGGCATTGGGCCGATGCGTTGAAGGTGCTTTTGAGGTTGCAACTGAGGTTACTGATTTTTTGTCACAGTATTTGTACAAACAGTCACAGTAACACGGTGGAACTTCCGGTAATTTATTTAAGGTTCCTCCATTTGGTTTGAATTGGTCAATGAGGTGTATTTAGTTTTGGGGCATTTTGGCTGTAACTCGATGCCCCCTGTTTTGGCACCTTTTTACTTCGTTATTTAACCAAAAAAAGAAATATATATATATATATATATGAAATTCTTGACTTGTTATTCATGTGGGGCACCTACACAACACACGTTATATCATGTTAGCATGGGGACAGTGTGATGTTATATTGGTGGTTTGATCATTGATGCCCATGTTCTTTTTGTGTGTACATTTGATGGATGGTGAAATGCTAGGAAAGCAAAGCCTTATGGCCCCGTTTGATTCCCTCTTTCATAAGTCGGAGGGCTTCATATGGGTCTTGCATGTTGGGATTGTTAGTTTGCTCTAACACTTGGTATTGAAAATTAGTCCGTTGGTATTAGAGGAGTAATTTACTTCTTTACCCTATCCTCTCCTCTTCTCTCCTCTCCTCTCTCTCTTCTCTTATCATATATATATATATATATATGCATATTTCATTCGGTTTTCTCTCCAATCAAACAGAAGTGTAGACAAATTGTAAATTAGATCAGTAAAATTGATGAGTGATGCTCCGAACTTTGACAAAATTAGACAAAAGAGATAAATTAAAAGACTTACATGACATGAAATTATACAAAATTGAAATTTGCAAGAAAAACAAAATCGTGTTGACTGTGAATATCGGCGTCGTCATTGTTGATGGTAATGATCGGTGTCATTGCATCGTCGTTGTCATTGACGGTAAAGATTGGTGTCATCGTCCTCCTTGTAGTGATGCTCTTTTTTTTTTTTTAACAGAGAAGGCAAAGATGATGATGAGATGAATGAACAATGAACTAATATTTAAGTGAAAAAATCTTTCCATACACTGTTTAAAACCATGGAATGGTTAAAACCGTGGGCTGGGTTAAGTTGTTTTCATAATTCAGTTTTATAAAAATAATAATTTTATATAACATAATTTGTAATATTAAAATATATCACAAATAAACACAAATTTTCACAATCCACTCACTAATAATTTTCAAATTTCATAATAATGTAACAAGGGAATTTATGGAATTTAACTAGTTAATCTCACTCCTATCTCTCAAAACAAACATGAATTATTGTTAGTCCACTGGTTATCAAACAAACACAAATTTCTTAGTCCCCTCACTAACAATCTCCTCACTAACAATCTCATCCAATCTATCTCTGCAAACAAACGAACCCTATGTGCATGTTTGATTGGGTGAATTAGAGCATAGGATTGGGATTATTAATCCGTGGGTCCAATTATTCAATGTTTGTTTTAACATTTTGATTTAGGATAATTAATCCAACAAATTTGTAAGATTATTAGTAATGGGGTAGGGGTGCGATTATTAATCCAATGAATATTAATTCAATTGGATAGTAAATACTACACTAATTTAATAGAATTATTAATACTTCACTATTAATTTTGTAAATCAAACATGACCTATGTGTATCTTTCTATTCTATGGAATTTGAGCCATGTGATATCTCACAGGTCCTTCTAGTCCCTTTCTTACGATGATGAACACTCACGAGGATATACAAGGATCATTTGACACTTCTGTAATAAGAGGAGCCAATTAGACTAATATGATCCTTTATCGCGAGCTCACCCGAGGATACTATCAAATCGAGGATTTCATTGAATGAAATATATAAGTCATTTATTTATTTATTTATTTTCCTTCATAAATTCTTCTCAAATTTTAGGGGTGAGCATGGTTTGGATTGGACCGGATTGGGATAAAACCAGGACCAATTCGTTATTTACGGTTTCTGAAAAATTAGAACCAATCCAATCCGTTTAAATCATGGAACCAATCCGAACCAATCCATTTAAATACGGATTTGATCGGTTTAGGACCACGGATTCACATAATTAAATAACAATATATATATATATATATATCACTTTAATTTCATAAAAACATAAACATAGCGCTATATTAGTTCCACAATAGTAACATGTCTTTCTATAATAGCGACATACTATTCTAGAATTTAAACAACCATAAGAAAATTGGTTTTACCATAAGTATTTAGACCATTACAAATTAAAATTAAAAACTAACAAACAAAAGTAATAAAAGAAGATATTATGCAGGTTTAGGTTTGAGTTTATGTTTTATATGGAATAAGAGAATATACTATGGGGGATGATGTATAATAAAAATATAGACTATTTGTATACGGTTCGGATCGGTTCCAATCCGGAACCGTGGGGTTTAATCCGGAACCAATCCGTGGACTACGGATTTTTAATTCTTTAATCTGGAACCGAACCACGGATTCAAAAAATCAATCCAAACCTATCGGATTGGACTGCACTGGATCGGATTACGGATTTCACAGATTCCTTGCTCAACCGTACATCTTTTAAGCCAAAAATACTGAATTTACCAAAGAAGTATGACATTTCTAAAAGAGTGGCGTGCTTGTGTTGGACATCGACACTTGTCAGACATTTTCCTGACACGTGTCCGACACTAATCCAAGCGCATCCTATTTTTTTAAAAATAATTTATACACGGATACTTTTTAGATACTTTGAGGACACATGTGTCCATTGATTAGATACACATAAAATTAATTATAGATTTGAACAAAATAACTTATAATACAATGGTAAAAGAAAAATAAATATCAGTTTATAGAAATTAGTATTGTACTGTATTTATTTGGGGCAAATTACACGAATAGTCCCTATAGTTTGGGGCTTGTGTCACTTTGGTCCCTGACTTTTCAATTGTGACACATTTGACCCTAAATTTTGAATCTTGTTTCAAATAAGGACAATTGAATATATAATTAGATTTTTCAAGGGTAAAATTGTCAATTCAATAAAATATAAACTAATTTGACAAAAATAAATGTCAAACAAATATTTTTGAATTTTTAAAAATTATTTATACCTACTAAGAAAAAATTATGTAAAATTGATAAATCTTTTAGACATTTATTTATTTTTTACCAAATTAATTTTTATTATGTGTTTGGATGATGATCATGTAAAATTAATTTTAAAAAATTAATCATGTAATTTTTGTTAATTTTACATAATTTTATCATTGGTGGATAAAAATAATTTTTAAAAAATTAAAAATATTTTTTTTGCATTTATTTTTGTCAAATTAGTTTATATTTTATCAAATTGATGATTTTACCCATGAAAGATCTAATGATATTTTCAATTGTCCTTGTTTGGAACAAGATTCAAAATTCAGGGTCAAATGTATCACAATTGAAAAGTCAGGGACCAAAGTGACACAAGTCCCAAATTGTAGGGACTATTAGTGTAATTAACCCATTTATTTATTATCATAGAATAATATATTCATATATATGACATATAATAAATATATAAAATTAAATATTTTGTGTTTGTCCCTCACGTGTCGTGTCTTGTATTTTTTGAGAATTATCTTATCAATGTATCCGTATCATATTCATATTGTGTTACGTGTTCATATCCGTACTTCTTAATAACGGACTTAAGAACGGACTTATAGGTGATTAGTTACTTGTTATGAAGTTCTTTTGTGGTATGTATGCAGTTGGTCTACAATTGGATGCCATGGGATTCATATATTATTCTAGTTTGGTTTTGTTTTTAAAAATAATAATTTTTAATGAATTGTATTTGGTTAATTAATTTGGATTGGAATGGAGAATGAAAAGGTAGGTAAATGTGAATAAAATATCATTACATTTTACATATATATTTTAGAATTTTTATTAAAATTTATGATCTAAATAGTGTTACTGAGGTAATTTTAGTTTATTTAAGTTTCTTTTTTGTCACATACTATTCTTTCCCCCCCCTCATATACTTGCCTGTTGTAGGTAAAAAACTATATATTTTTTTGTTTAGAGCTTCACCGAACCGTTCTTGAGGTGACATGCTTCTTTATTTTCACTTGCAATTTTATGAAATTTTTGGCATTGATTGAATGCTCTTGAAACAAGTTCATTACTTAGCTCGTAACCACACTTTAAATAATTGCATTGATTTATGTCCTAATTCATGGGATACTCGGCTCATTTTTATCAATTTATTTTAAATGGCTAAATACCTATTATTTTAAAATTTTATTTTGAAAATAAAAATATATATTAATGCATATTTAATAGTATTTACTGCACAAATCTAAAGATATAATTATATTTTAAAATAAAAAATAAAAAGCTATCTAAGGCCAAGTAGCAAAATTGTGATCGAATTTGAATTTCGACATCAGCAAGTTTATCGTTTGTGTTAAACCGTGGTGTAGGGTTCTTCGGAGAGGTTGCCAATAATAAGTTGGTAAATTTATGTGAGGGGCATTTGGTCATTTCATCTCAAACATAGTGAGGGGAGTTTTATTTTATTTTATTTTTTAAAAAAAAATTGGCCTTTTAGTCCATAAACCAAAAAAAGTACATAATCTTGACAAATATTTTTTTTCCTAAATCATTAAAGGAAGGGAAAATTACAAACACCCCCTTGAGGTTTGGTAAAAATACAAATTCTCCCATGAGGTTTGAGAAATTACAAATTGCCCCGTGAGGGTCAAATTTTCATAACAAATTAGGGGAAATAAGGGTGGAATCTGTATGAAAATAAAAACCTCATGGGGTAATTTATTATGAAAATATAAACCTCAGGGGCGGGATGTAATTTCTCAAACCTCGGGGGAAATTTGTATTTTCACCAAACCTTGAGGGGGTGTTTGTAATTTGCCCTTAAAGAAAATATATATATAGCTAAAAAAATTGTTGCCAAATGAGGAACATACAATTAAATCATTAAAAGCTTATCATCAACAGATATAAGAAATATGATAATTTCACATTGCACAATATTATTAATGTCTCTTTAAATTAGTTATTTGATTAGAAAGGATAAAAAGTCCGCCCGGTATAATTTACAAAAAAATAAATGAATAAAAAATTTCTATAATTTAAGTTCGTACAATTTTATCTTTTTTTTTTCTGTCCAAATCCCATGTTTTAAGAAGAAGAAAATCATTTAGAAAATCATGATGAGTTTCTAAAACTTGACAACTTAACTGTAGTGAATGTATTTTTACAATAAAATGCTATTGAAAACACAATAGAATGCTACCCATGATTTCTGGAATAAATTATTAATAGGTCCTAAAAGTAGAATTTAATTACCATTAAGTCCTATTGAAAATAAGTCTTTTAGTAAAGCGGTCGCAAAAAATAATTTTTTGTAATATTTTTTTTATACATGTCGTTAAAATTTGACAATTAATGACTTTTTTTTGTCAAAGTTTTTATAAATTGTCCTTAAAACTTACAATTAATGACGTTTTTCCATGAAGAATATTTCAAGCTGTCATTGAAAGTTAAAAATTATTAATTTTTTTGTGATATTTTTTTAAACCGTTGCTAAAACTTATAATTAATAACATTTTTTATGACAAAATTTTAAATTGTCACTGGAAATTAACAATTAGTGACGTTTTTAAATTTTTTTTTTATGAAAATGTCATTAATTCTCAAATGACCTATCCATTTATTAGGACGTACATGTAAGTCCCCTAACTTCAGTAACCTCATAATTTTTTGGGTGCCATGACTTCTTCAAAGTGAATATAAATTGGATAAAGTCTTATCATTTTCCACATCATCATAAGGTTCTTACTATGATAATATCAAGAGTATTGCTATTCAAATTAGCTCTACTTTTCAAACTTAATGATGTGATAATAAATTATAATATTTAAAACAACGCTCTTTCTCCAATATTCTTTAATTATCAACCAATCATCATATTTACACCTCATTGGGTTTAGAAAGTGGATTTATATATCATTTTTCTCATATCAAACAATAAGGAGCAAATGAAGAGTTGATTATGCATAGAGCTTATTTTTTAAAATTTTTTATTTTTATTTGATAGAAATGATAGACGGGATTGATCAACCATAACAATTCTTTTTAAATGTGATAAGAAAAAATCCCTACTTGCTTAGAAATCAAACAAGATTAGTTAGGAGCATTCCTAGTAGAATTAATGTGGTCGGATTCCCTAACTATCCCCTCCCCTTTCCCTTCCCCTTCCCCTTCAACTAGTCTAGAAGCATAAAACTCCAATTTCCTTAATAATCATAAATGTTAAAAATTTATAATTCACTCACAAAGTCATGTCAAATGAGTTGAGCAATACACGATTGAGTTTATGACAAAATTAAAATTTTAAAATATAACTTGTTGTAGTGAGTTTCAAATGGTGAATCTCTTTCTTTCTTTCTTTTTTTTTCCCCTTCATATACTCGCTTGTTATAGGTAAAAAAAATATATATTTGTTTGTTTAGAGCTTCACTGAAACGTTCTTGAGGTGACATGATTCTTTATTTTCACTTGCAATTTTATGAAATTTTTGAGATTGATTCAATGCTCTTGAAACAAGTTCATTCCTTAGCCCGTAACCACACTTTAAATAATTGCATTGATTTATGTCCTAATTCATGGGATACTCGGCTCATTTTTATCAATTTATTTTAAATGGCTAAATACATATTGTTTTAAAATTTTATTTTGAAAATAAAAATATATAGTAATGCATATTTAATAATATTTATTGCGCAAATCTAAAGATATAATTATATTTTAAAATAAAAAATAAAAAGCTATCTAAGGCCGAGTAGCAAAATTGTGATCGAATTTGAATTTCGACATCAGCAAGTCTATCGTTTGTGTTAAACTGTGGTGTAGGGTTCTTCGGAGAGGTTGCCAATAGTAAGTTGGTAAATTTACGTGAGGGGCATTTGGTCATTTCATCTCCAACATAGTGAGGGGAGTTTTGTCTTATTTTATTTTTTAAACAATTTTTGGCCTTTTAGTCCATGAACCCAAAAAGGTACATAATCGTGACAAATAATTTTTTTCCCTAAATCATTAAAGGAAATATATATATAGCTAAAAAATTGTTGCCAAATGAGGAGCATACAATTAGATCATTAAAAGCTTGTTATCAACAGATATAAGAAATATGATAATTTCACATTGCACAATATTATTAATGTCTCTTTAAATTAGTTATTTGATTAGAAAGGATAAAAAGTCCACCCAGTATAATTTACAAAAATAAATAAAATAAATAAAAAATGTCTATAATTTAAGTTCTTACAATTTTATCTTCTTTTTTTTTTTTCTGTCCAAATCCCATGTTTTAAGAAGAGGAAAATCATTTAGAAAATCTTGATGAGTTTCTAAAACTTGACAACTTAACTGTAGTGAATGTATTTTTACAATAAAATGCTATTGAAAACACAATAGAATGCTACCCATGATTTCTGGGATAAATTATCAATAGGTCCTAAAAGTTGAATTTAATTACCATTAAGTTCTATTGAAAATAAGTCTTTTAGTAAAGTGGTCGCAAAAAATAATTTTTTGTAATATTTTTTTTGCACATGTCGTTAAAAATTGACAACTGGTGACTATTTTTTGTCCAAGTTTTTATAAATTGTCGTTAAAACTTACAATTAGTGACGTTTTTCCATGAAAAATATTTCAAACTGTCATTGAAAGTTAAAGATTATTGATTTTTTTGTGATATTTTTTTAAACCGTTGTTAAAACTTATAATTAATAACATTTTTTATGACAAAATTTTAAATTATCGCTGAAAATTAACAATTAGTGACGTTTTAAATATTTTTTTTAATATAAAAATGTCATTAATTCTCACATGGCCTATCCATTTATTAGGACGTACATGTGAGTCCCCTAACTTCAGTAACCTTAGATTTTTTTTGTTGCCACGACTTCTTCAAAGTGAATATAAATTGGATAAAGCCTTATCCTTTTCCACATCATCCTAAGGTTCTTACTATGATAATATCAAGAGTATTGCTATTCAAATTAGCTCTACTTTTCAAACTTAATGATGTGATAATTAATTATAATATTTAAATCAACACTCTTTAAATGTTAAAATTTTATAATTCACTCACAACGACATGTCAAATGAGTTGAGCGATACACGATTGAGTTTATGACAAAATTAAAAATTAAAAATATAACTTCTTGTAGTGAGTTTCAAATGGTGAATCTCTTTCTTTTTTCTTTTTTAAATTATAAGCATTTTGGGCATTTGACCTAGGGAAAGGACAAGGGGGCATGCTTGGCAAAGAGTGTTATTGCAACCCTGTGAATAAGACAGTATTGTTGGACAAGTATTAGTAGAGCATATGTTCTTTGCAAAATAAGGTTTCATGATATCTTCAAGCAGACCATGTTTGCACATCACTCCTCTCTGTAGTATTTTAACGACGTTTTTTAAACGTCGTTTTTTTAAAAAAATCAAAACGGCACCGTTTCAGTAACCGATGGCGTTTTACGTCTTATCTCCCTCCCTCTCTTAAATGGGCGAGCGGGTGAATATCAAATATAATATATTTTGTAGCCCTAATCTCCCTAATCTCTCGCTCACTCACTCCCTCGTTCCTCTCTCTCTGCTTCATCTCTCGCTGTAGCCCTAATCGAAGTTCTCTCTCGATTTCGATTTCGAAATCTATGTTTCGGTTATTCTTTCTCAATTTCGAAGCTTATTTTGAATCTGAGAATAATTGTTAAAGCCTTTGTAAACCCTTATTTTGAATCCTCAAGCCTTCAAATCTCGCCTCTATCTCAACCCTCTCTAAACCCTTATCATTCTCACAGATTCATCTTTGAGATTCAGAGCGATTTCGATTTCGATTTAGAAGCTCCACCGTCACCACCGTCTGTACCGGCTCGATTTCTCTGATAGTAATGCAGATGATATATTTGGGGGTAGATCTTTAATGGGTCGGAATCTTCTTCATGCCAAGAAAGGTGCTTTTTTTCTTTTCAATCATACCCTTTTTAATCCATTGCTTTAATGGGTATTTTTCGTTTGAATTTTTTTGTTTTGTTTTGTTTTGTTTTGGGCGTTTATAATGCATGTATCTGCTGGATTTATATGCTTAAAATTTCAGCAAAATATATGACGATTGAACATTAACATATGGGGGTTTATCAATACGAAGTTCTCTCTCTCTCGATTCCTCTTCAGCTCGGTGATTCCTCGTAGTGATTCATCTCAGAGGGGGAACGATGACATTTGCATGCCTTTGATTCAACATTCAGGCAAGGACTCTGTTTTTTTAAATGGAAATTGAGGCAGGATATGTTATAACAGAAGCAATTCTGAAGATTGATACTGAAAGACCTTTTGTGATTAAATTTGCATTGTATGTCTCTTAAGTATAATGACACATTAATTTCAATACTTTATCTGAGATTATTTTGATAGATATCTGTTTTAAGAAATAAAGCATTTTTTTCCATCTATATTTATTCACCCACGATTCTGTTACAGAAGTTACTATCTTTCCTGCTACTTTTGTGTTTGTGGTCAATAATTGCCTCTGCCTAGTTGTTTCTTGCCTGTATTTTTTAATAATGATAGGTAGTATGTCCATTGTATGTGTAAAATATGTTGTCTATCCTTGTTTCTGTTAACTGTTTTTGGCTAGAGTGTTATTGGAAGTAGATGTGGAGGCATATTACTGACTCTGCCATCACTTCTATTACCGACTCTGCCATTATTTGAACCATTTATCAATTTGTGCCAGTTAAGATGGTTGTATGCATGAGTGCTGGTGGTTGTATGCATGAGTGCTGGGTCTGGTGGTTGTGTGCATGAAAACTAAGATGGTTAAAAGCATGGTTGGAGGCACTACCTTGAATCATGATCGAGTTTTGGCTAAATCCGTACTGGGGCACTTTCTTTAGCTTCAGTCCTAGAGTTTTTCAGTTACTTTGCAAATGTGATTTATCTTATTGCATATTCAAGTCCCAACACATACTGCATTTGTAATGTAGCCAAGGGGTGTTGACTGTTCCAACTCGTCAAATTATACTTAATAATTTTTGTACCTTCGTCTTGTCTACTTCTCTGGGATAGTTGTACAAACAACTATGAGTTTGCTCAGTTAAAGATACAATTTTTTTGCTACATCCTCTATCATTTGATTTTGTTTTACTTTATTGAGTGCTTTGAGATGGCATTGTTGTAGGCTTCTTGCTGGTCTGGGAGCAGCCAGGACAGGAATATGAGAAGCCCTTTCGAATCACTATATATCCAGCCATCCTTCGAATCTATTAGTTGGTATGCTTAGTATTAGTAATTATGGTGTCTTAGCTCCAATCTCTAGCTCTTAGTAAAACTCTTTTCTTTTTTTTTTTTGGTTTGATTTAGCTTATAATGGATTCCTGAAAACATGCTTTCCCAGTAGGTGTTGTTAATGCTTTCCTTGTTTTACTTCTCGTTGTTTCTCATCATCGCTTGTGAAATTCATGAATGACAAGAGGAATGTTGCTTTTATGAATGTGCATAAATAAAATGATGGTAACAAATGATATAAACAAAGTGTAGCAAATTCATAGAACGATAGATTTGCACAGCAATTGCAGGGAACGTATGCATGTGTAAAATCAATTCTTCCTTTTCAAATCATATGACGAGATGTATGCCTTGCTACAAATTGTGATTTCCTGCTGATATTGATTTTAGATGAGTGCCAGTTAATGCTGTCTGTATGATTCTGTTACTGTTACTTCTAATAGCATTGCGTCATTCCAAATGTTTGAAAAATGGGTGGAAACATTAGAGAACCATAAAATAATAAAATCTCCTGCCTTCGCGAACCCTAAATTCTTTTAGCCACTAGTCATTTTCATGCATTTGCTTGGCACCCAATTTTTGTTTCCGCATCTTCGCTTTGTCTTTTAAGAGTAAATATTAGTTATAACGGTGAAAGTACATGATAATATTACGAACCGCTACATAGTTGGGTAGTGTCAAATAATCTCATTTGTAGCATTTTATTGGCCGATGATACTATGAGGATGGTGTTACCGTTGCAGTCCATATTTGTTTCATCTTTTTAGACATGTTTGCTAAATCATTTGCACCTAATCAGAGAGATTCTTAGTGTGTGGTGAAATGCTGCTTTTTATGTTGTCTTGAGATGGTTGGTGCGTCTATTATGCTCTGCCTTTTATCCATCCCTACCAGTCAATTTTTTATTTTTTGGCCATCCATCCACAAGTTTTCAAGACCTTGACTGCTTTTTATTGTTCAACAGAATCTTTAAATGGAAGGAATCAGTGAATTTGGTTATACCTTTTGAAAGTTATTTTATTGCTTTTAATAGCAAAACTTTGCTTTTTTGTGTGTAAAAGAAGAGTATTTTTAAAAATACCAATTATATAATAGCTTAATTTTTATTGAAATTTCCAGTGAAAAACCAATGAGCTGTTTGTTGCTCAAGTATTGTTAGGTTGAACGAGCTGTCTTACAATCCATTATGTGCGTATGTCATTTCTCGCATTATATCATTTTCTTTCCTGGGAATTACCAGGACAAGACAGGAGGCAATGAAAGCAACCACTACATTTTGGCTGTTATTTTTTTTTAGGTTGATGATTGCTCTTTGGATATCATCTTATGTGATACTGGGTCTTATCTTTATTTTTTATTTTTTCAGATGGTGGTCTTATCTTTTATTTAGATATTAATAACACTATTATTTTTGCTTAGTTACGATAATATATATATTTATATATATATTCTTAATATTTTTGGGACATGGGTTCCCTCACCATTGTTGGGGAATTGTGTTAATAGACCAAAACAAGTGTTAGGATAGGGTACAATGATGGATTTTGTATCAAACAACTATGTCCAGTACATGCTATTGGATTTTGTGTGTATGGTTCAAGTTGGTTTTCTTTGCAGATCATTTAATCACTATTCTCTTTTACTCATTGAATGCATAAAAAGTTCTGAACTTGAAATAGCACAGATGGTGCAGGTGCCACTGCCATAGCTATGCTTTATGTATGCAATTCTTAAAGTGGACATTGTCATTGTAGACTGCTTCAATGACTATGATTTTGCATTAAGCTATTTCAGTCTTATAAAACTCCTTGTTAGTTTGAGACTAGGAAGGTGGATGAAGGTAGATCCTGCTGTACATAACTGTTTAACTAGTTGTGAGCCTTTGAATTAGTTTTTGATCAAAACAGAGAATATAAAAGCTCTTAGAGCAAAGAATTGGATATATAGACATTATGGATTTTCATGAAGACTGGTTTCAGGTTCTTTTTTTATTCTGTTTTTGTAGCGAAACTTCTCCACTAATTGGACTATTTAATTCTGTTCATTTCTCTGCATGTTGTGTGGTTTGAAAATTTAATGAAGTCTAGAATTAGGTGAGGCTAGGGATTATAATTTTTTTATCTATTGAAGAATAAGTTCATTTATAGAAAATGTACCAATGTGTGTCTCCCATGTACACTAGAGGTTCACAAACCCCCATTATATAGGCAACAGGTATTTTAACTATTTTTACTAGTTGTTACTTTAAATTGCCTAGAGCTTATCTACAACTTAAGCCTCTTATTGAATGATAGGTTGTGGATTCACTTAGTAGTCATCCCACTATTCGGCCAATGTCACATCAACAACAATCTCATGTATTTTCATCCCAAGAGGTGAGCAATCATTTAATCGAAGCTTTTTTGACAAATACAATATCTTATTAATTATAATACTTGTTCTTATTAAGTATCGGTTCACCTTTCAAAGAAAGAGAAGAAGAAGAAGAAGAAGTAACAAGGTAAAAGTACTAACATCACTAGTTTTTAATTTCTCACTTTTCTAAATCTATTAAGACATGATGTGATTTGGTGTTGGAAATTAGTGAATAATTGTGGATTGGGAAAAGACCTAGAAAGGAGAAGAGTGGGTTTTAGTTTGGAAACAAATTAAAAACTGAAAAATTAAACGCAATGCAACACATCTTTGCGCGATATTGAGATTGGATAACCTGAAAAAATGAGGAAAATGAAAAATTGGAGTGATACAATTTGGTTGTTTTTAGTTTGGAAACAAATTAAAAACTTGAATTAAGCCAAATCAGCCACATGGTTTTATATATTAACCTAGAAAATAGTACCTTGAAAAACATCCAAATCTTGTGGGATATTTGGCAATATTCTGTGCCTTTTGGTCGATGCAGCAAGTAGCCGAGTGAGTAATGGCCAAGGTTGTTAAAATCGGGATCCTAAGTAGGATCAGTGAGAGGGTCTAGTGGATCGGATCGTAGGATTGGATCGAGGATCGTAAGATCTTACTTTCTATTAAAAAAAAAGATAAAAATTAAAATTAAAATGATACATATTAAAAATAAGGTGAAAAATCATAAAATCTACGATCCTACTTGCGATTCTACCTACGATCCTATACGATCCTACTTGCGATCCTACCTACGATCCTATACGATCCCATACGATCCTACACGATCCCAGGCGATCTTACACGATCCTACTTGCGATCCTGTTATAACATCGATCCTACAACGATCTGGATTGTTTTGGCAAAGTAGGATCGTAGGATTGTACGATCCTACGATCCGGATCGCGATTTTAACAACCATGGTAATGACAATGGTGCAAGGTTTTGCTGGTAAGACGATGAATTAAAAATGCCGCCTATACTAATATAACGATGTTTTTCAAACGCCACAAGGCTATAGCGACGGCCGCATTGTCGGCGTTTGTTACTAAACGTCACAAAAAGAATTAGCGACGTTTTTAGTACCTATAGCGGCATTTAAAAAATATTTTTAGAACATTTTACGAAACAAAATTTTTAATTATTCAAATAAATAAATAAATAAATTGGATGCCCTTAAAGGTGGAGTGTGTAATGAAAGAGAGGGGGTTGCTCCATTGCCACCTATGTCGAGGCAAGCCTTATCATTATTTGATTCTTCAAGAGGCAGTTTCATTATTATTATTTTTTTTCTGAACAACTTGCATATTTTTTACTAATATATTCCGATAAAATTAATGTCACGCTTCATAATCAGTAATCAAACTTTAACTAGTTTTTCACACTATAACCCTTATTTGTCCAAAAAAAAAAAATTTTTTTTTAGCAGATAAAATAAACGATGTGGAGTGTGTAATGAAAAAATTATTCAAATAAATAAATAAATAAATTGGATGCCCTTAAAGGTGGAGTGTGTAATGAAAAAGAGGGGGTTGCTCCATTGCCACCTATGTCGAGGCAAGCCTTATCATTATTTGATTCTTCAAGAGGCAATTTCATTATTATTATTTTTTTTTTGAACAATTTGCATATTTTTTACTAATATATTCTGATAAATATTAATGTCACGCTTCATAATCAGTAATCAAACTTTAACTAGTTTTTCACACTATAACCCTCATTTGTCCAAAAAAAAAAAATTTTTTTTTAGCAGATAAAATAAACGATGCATGTTTAGTCTCGTCATAAATTACTTGTTATATATGAAGCAGGAGAATTATATGTATTTGGGATTAATCGGAATAAAATTCCAAAAATGCTAGTGAAAAAATAAAATAAATTTTGGAGACCCCTGTCGAATCAATTACTCACAAATTTGGGGCTTTTGTTTTTGACACGTAAGTTATTCACCTAGTCTTGAAAGAAGAGTGAAAATGGGAAGACAGAGTAGTGCGACTACAAAAGAAACAATAATGTTTTATTATTAGTCTAGATAAAAGAGGACACTAAACTCACTTGACTTGATATGATCTGATCTAAACTCTACAAATTTTGTACAATCAAATTAACAAACAATTTTGAGTTTTGTTGAAGAATTGGCTAGATCATTCCCAAATAGACTCATTATAGGATAAGATTAGACATATATTATAAGACGAAATTACATACACTATTTTTCTTATCATCTAAACTCAAAATTAGTTATTCAAATTGCATTTTTTACCCATTCCATGTGATTTGAAAGATTCAAATCGGGTTGATACCTGAACAAATGGGTTGCCCCGGTTGATAAGGAATATGTTACCCGGCTCATTGATAGATAGGTAGGTGAAGGTTTTTTGGTTGGGATCAAACCCGAGACGACGAGTCATTGCTTAAGCAAATCCAAAAATACAGTTAGACCTGGCCAACTTTTTTGGATAAAAAAGAAATGTACATATGAAATTCATTTTAAGTGTAGATATATATTGTTGATCATATGGTGTAGCAATGGAAGTCGGTTTGCCTACCTAATGATAAAAGGACCACACGAATAGAGGAATCAATGGAATCATCATTACCATTTGATATCTTAGAGCTATGATGATTAAATTCAACAATTATATAGTTAAAAAAAAAAGGTGCATTTACCAATTGTGTAACATCAAAAACAAAGAATGGGAAATTGTTCAACTCATATAACACATTCAAACCACACGTATGAGCTTGGATGTATGCGACTTTATGGTTTGACTTTTGGGTTATAATGTATTTGTTTAAGGGTACATTACAATTTGCCCGTTATTTTTTTTTCACTTTAATCTTTAAAATATGTAATTATTTTCAATTTGCATCAACAACAAATGTCCATCTAAAATTGTACAAAAAATTTAATGTCTGTGTCACGTCTCTCAAATTTATGGTGTAAAAGAAAAAAAATATAATATTTTTAGTATAAATGTGACAAAAAATATAGTAATACTTAAAAAGGTTAATATGAGAAATTACCTATTGTAATCATATGGTTGTCCTTAAGTTTGAGTCAAATAAAATATCACATGTCACAAACTGATATCACATGATATTGGCATGACATTTTTCTATCTAATTTGAGATAAACATTAGTTATTGGTCTAAATTAAAAAGAATTACATACCTTGAGAACCAAAAGTTTAAAAAAATAGTAATAATAAAAATTAAAAATCATAGTTAAAATAATTTAGGAGAGAGAAAATGAAATTGACCTTTGGTTAAACAATGCGTGCACACACATGTAAACGGCCTATCTTTCGGCTTAAAGTAAACTTTCCTTTGATTGTTTTTTATGCTCATAATTAGTCCTACTCAAATATTAACACATTAACCAGTTTAAGTATGTACTGATGATGATCCAAAATTTGCGATTTTGATTTTATGATACCCTAGTGAAGAAACATTATTTACGGGTTTATGTTTTATAACTACACCAGAAAATAGTCTATTCCCTTGTCCTAGAAGATTGATTGGTTAATATTAATATTTTATATATTAGGCAATGAGAATAACTAATGTCACTAATTCACCAATCAAAGAGTTAGATTTTTTTCGTAGTTTGTCTGCAATAATCTTTTGTCTTTTTTGTCATAACAATACATATTAATAAAATATAAATTTTAATGGGTCGAGTTAAAATTGAAAGAAAATGATAACAAAAAAACGTTTTAATTTTTTATTTTTATTTTCCTTGTCCCACAGTGATTTCTTATTAATTTCTTGCACTTTTTATATGTAGACCTATGTTATTGGGTAAGGGCCAAGAATGTGGGGGAGACTATGTAAACTTTTGGCCATATGTGTGAAGTCCATATATATATATATATAAGTCTTTTTTTTTTTCTTCTCTTTTTTTCTCATTGATTTATAGTAAGATTCATTTCTTTTTATAATTAACAATGATTAAGGAATTAACTAGCCATTTCATAATTCGAGGGATTTTGATTGATTTATAATTAAAGGAATTTTTTTGATCAAATCTTTGATTCATTTCTTTGCCCCTTATTTTTTTTCCCTCACGTTAATCTTTAAAGTATCTAATTATTTTCAATTTGCATCAACAACTAATGTCCATCTAAAATTATATCAAAACTTTCATGTCTTTGTCATGTCTCTCGAATTTATGGTGTAATAGAAAAAAAATATAATATTTTAAGTATCAATGTGACAAAAAATATAGTAACACTTAAAAGGTTAATGTGAGAAATTACTAATTTTAATTCTATGGTTGTCCTTATGTTTGAGTCGAATAAGATATCACATGACATTGGCATGACATTTTTCTAGCTAATTTGAGATAAATATTAGTTGTTGGTCTAATTTAAAAATAATTACATACCTTGAGAACCAAAAGTTTAGAAAGATAGCAATAATAAAATTTAAAAATCAAAGTTAAAATAATTTAGGAGAGAGAATGAAATTGACCTTTGGTTAAATGATGCGTGCACACATATGTAAATGGCCTATCTTTCGGCTTAAAGTAAACTTTCCTTTGATTGTTTTTGTTGCCCATAATTAGTCCTACCCAAATATTAACACATTAACCAGTTTAGGAATGTACTGATAATGATCCAAAATGTCCATTTTGATTTTATGATACCCTAGTAAAGATACATGATTTACGGGTTTATGTTTTATAGCTACACTTGAAAATATTCCACTCCCTTCTTCGTGAAGATTGATTGGTTAAATATCAATATTTTATATATTAGGCAATGAGAATAACTATTGTCACTAATTCACCAATCTAAAAGTTGGATTTTTTTTCGTAGTTTGTCTGCAATAATCTTGTGTCTCTTTTGTCATAGCGAGACATATTAATAAAATATAAATTTTAATGATTCGAGTTAAAATTGAAACAAAATGATATAAAAAAAGGCTCTAATTTATTATTTTTACTTTTTTTCATTTTGCTCCTTGTCCCACATTGATTTCTTATTAATTTCTTACACCTTTTATATACAGACCTTTGTTATTGAGTAAGGGCCAACAATGTGGGGGAGACTATATAAACTTTGGGCCATATGTGGGAAGTCCATATATATATATATG